TTGCTGTATTTGTTGCAATGATGTTCCCTGGGAGCAGCTACTGACTTATCCCAATCCATTCGGCTAAAGAAGAAAGGTGGGTCTTGTCTTGTTTCTTTACGTTAGGTACAGTCGCCTCAAACTGCTGGGCTTTTTTTTGTGAATTTTGATTTTTATTCGTTACTTCCGAAATACTGGTCTTGTTGGCCCTGTCTAGGGGCCACCGGAGAAGTGGTAGGGTTATGACAGCCTAGAGAGTAAGGAAGTGAGGCTAGATTGATGAAGATGAAATATTTGGTTAGCTCCAAATTAATTAAAACACTCCCCCCACTTCAATAAAGGGTGGAGAAGGCACTGACATGTGATAAGAGCGCCAATGAATCTTTCCGGGAAGCCCACGCTTAACATTTATGATACTACCCCATTTAAAAGCAGCAAAACAAAACATACCCTTCAGGTTGTCGTTAGACAACAACAAAGCAGCACGTCCGCTTCTCTTCCCCGCTTTGCATACCAACTTTCCACGCAAAATTCACCGAGTGGAGGGTAAACAACCAGATCGGACCTAGGGATGAGGTGGCTTCTTGATCACTTGAAGTTTGAATCCAGACCAGATGCCTTTCTAAAGCTTTTTCTATGGACCATTCAGTGGCACATCTGAGGGCAGGGGACTGGACTCGATGATCTTTCGAGGTCCCTTCCAGTTCTAGTATTGGATGAATCTGTACTGCTGTGGCTGCGCTGCTAGAAGGTCTCCTGTGTAGTGGGTCTATGCCGGCGGGAGGCTCTACGTCAGGGCTACTCAACTTTGGAAGCCCCAGAGGCCACAATGATACTCACATTGGAGGTGGCTGGCATGTCCCTGCAGGCCCTGGGAGGGTCAGCACAGGGGGTCTCCATGTGCTGTCCTTGCCTGCAGACACTGGCTCCTGTAGCTCCCATTGATCAGTGATGGAGAGCTGTGGCCAGTGGAGGCTGTGGGGTCGAGGCCTGTTGTAGAGGGTTGCAACTCAAGTGTGGTCGCATGTACATGCAAATATATATGCAAATTAAGGATGTTCAGTATCGGGTAATTGACTAATGAAATAGTCGAAGCATTTTTGCATCGACTATACAATTAGTCGATAGGGCGCCTCCGCCTTTGAAGTGTAGCAATAGCTTTGATGTGGGCTCCCCATGGCATTTCAAAGTGGCAGCGCCGCGTGGAGCCTGGGGTCACGTGGGGCTCCCCAGCTCATCCTGGGCTCCATGCGGTGCTGCCACTTCGAAATGCTGCAAGGAGCCTGACGCCAGGCTCCCTTGGCATTCATCATTGCACGGAGCAGCTGACCCTGGGCTCCGTGCGGCGCTGCCACTTTGAAGTAACCCCTCCTTCTCTCCCCCCCTTGCTGCCTCTATCTGATAGGGGCAGCAAGGAGGGGGGAAGCGACTAATTGACTATCCTATAAGTATTTGCTTATTGGATAGTTGACTTGTCATTCACATCCCTAATGCAAATGTATGCAAATAGCTTTTCACACTGATGTGCACGCATACAAAAATTAAGCCTTAAGCCGAATCCAAACGTGGCCATTATGAGCCAGTCAGCACCTCTCAGGCTCTGCCCACAAGGCTAAGCAGCAAGTACTTCCCCCAATCCCCTGGGGCTCCCGACACCTCATCCCAGGGGACTAGAAATGCCGATACTCTGTACCCGTCTATTCCAGCCAGCCCGTCCGCTTGCGTCTTTCAGTGCTCACCCACCTGGGAGATGCCTCGCTGTTGTGGAGCGTGTTCCAAATTAATTAAAACACTCCCCCCACCTCAATAAAGGGTCCCACCCCTGGGCTGCAAACCTAAACCACACCACGGGCCGCAAACAAACGGGCTGCGTGTTGAGTAGCCCTGCTCTAAGTTATGTCTTAGTGCAAGAATCACGCCATTCAATGGCCTATCTTATGCAGGAGAACAGAGTAGTTGATAAGAATGGTCCCTTCTGCCATTTGATCTCTGAGGAAACCAACTACGTTCACCATCAATTTGCTGGTGGCAGACGGGAAAAGACTCTTTACTGCACAGCAGTAGATGGCTCCAGGACTAGAGCTATTAAGAGATATGAAGACATCTCTTCTGTTGGGGAGACAGGAGGTGGCACTGGCATGCCAGAGGACTGGAGGCCTGGGAATAAAACCCAACACCATCAGCAGCACCATCACATTTGGAATGGTTTTAAGCCAACGCGATGCTGCTAACCTACCCAATCGAGGGCAGCTAACCTAGCATTTAACCCTCCAAGCCACTCCAGTGATCTTGTCTCTATGCCTCAGAAAACCACCATGCAATTTAGTCCTATCAGCATTCTCTGCTCAGCAGGCCCAGGACTATCAGTGGTAAATAGGCCCATGGTGGGATGATAGGAGTTAGAGAACTTTTTCCTGGGCGTCTGGCTGGTGAGTCTTGCCCACATGCTCAGGGTCCAGCTGATTGCCATATTTGGGGTCGGGAAGGGATTTTCCTCCAGGGTAGATTGACAGAGGCCCTGGAGGTTTTTCGCCTTCCTCTGTAGCATGGGGCACGGATCACTTGCTGGAGGATTCTCTGCATCTTGGGGTCTTTAAACCATCATTTGAGCACTTCAATATCTGAGCAATAGGTGAGAGGATTATTCCAGGAGGGGGTGGGTGAGATTCTGTGGCCCGCACTGTGCAGGGGGTCAGACTAGATGATCATAATGGTCCCTTCTGACCTTAAAGTCTATGAGTCTATGAGACTGGAATAGGCCAAGAACTGTCGCATAGAAGCAGAGCTGCGGGGACACAGGACTAGACATGCAGGGAGTTGTGCAGGTCAGGAGCAAAGATCCTAGAGACTGATGCTTTCTGAGGTCCCCCCACCAGCAGGCCTGGGTCAAACAAAGACCATTAAGCCTGTAATGTCCACAACAAAAACATGTTCACCCAGCACGGTTCTATTCTATGCGCCTCTTAAAATGCTCAAAGCAGAAGGAACAAGGGTTTTAAAACAGATACGGCTCCATTCCTGGCTGCAGGTTTAAAGGGTTGTGAGTTCTTGCCTAGGTTAAACCTAAGCACAATCATCATAATCATTGTTTTGCTTTTTAAAACTGCTTTCAAGGGCTCCATCAGCTTTCAATGAATATGTTACAAATAAAGAAACAGCCTTGTCTCCCAACACATCCTGGGGTGATTAATAAGGAATTTTTCTAATTATTTTAATTCCTCCCAATTATGCTGCTTGTTTACCTCAGAAAAATAACTCTCCTTCAAGGGAGAGAACACTGTCCCCGAAAGGGATAGCTGCCTCTGGGGAGCAGGGAGAAGGGACTGAGGGGAACGGGCTCAGGTGCCAGCAGTCTCTGGAAAGGAGACGTCTAAGCACAGCAAAGGGGTGTCATGCTGGAGAATCACAGCGCTGACTCGATCGCCTGGCTGAGCCCAGCATCACCAGGACTCAGAGAGAAAGGGGCGCCTGTGCCCAATGGTACCTTAAAAGCAGACGTTCATTCTTCCAGTCTCAGTTTCAAGCAGACCCTTAGGTCTAGGCATTGTCCATCCCCCTGCAAGCACTTCGGGGCGGAGACAAGGTTTATTCAATGACTGAAGCGCTAACTGTATAAATAGTAAAATCTCGTCCAAGCCCGGCTGCCTTTTTTTAAGGCTAACTGAAGTACTGAGTTCTCTCTGGGCTCTGGATCGGCAATGTGGCCAGCATGGTACCAGGGGCAACCCAACCCCATCAAAGGGGACCCATACAGGAAAGGGCAAATTGCACGGGGGCTTTTTTCTGCTTCTTACAACATCTGGAGGCTGGGAAGGAGTAGATTTTGATCTGTAAATGTTGGCAAATGATTTCACTGTGTACACACATACACATACACACACACATACAAAAATGCTTCCATCAATAAGAACTGACATTTACAGCTAGACAAAGAAATAAAAATGCTGCTTGAGAACTTAGGAGTTTGATTTCACAATATTTACTCCGCATATTTTGACAGGTGAGGTTGACAATTTGTGTTGTAACACAAAGCTTGAACTTTTTTAATCTCAAAATCTGCTGTCATTTAATTGCTATTATCTTACCGCCTTCAATTATCCACAACTGCGAAAACTGATAACACATAAAACATCAATATCCAGCTAAATAATTTCTCTGTATTAAAAAACCTTTTCCTCCACCCTCCTTCCCTCCCCTCCCCTTCCCCTCCCCAATGCTCGGCTGCTGCGCAGGGCCTAGGGAGGCCCCGGAGCATCCCCCTCCCTGGTGTTCCGGGGGGGGGGGGGGAAAAAAAGCCACAAAGCCTGGGAGCTGTGGCCTCTCTCCTCCCCCACTCTCCTGGGTTTGGGGGGGGGGAGGGAAGAACTGGGAGTCACACAGTCTCTCCCTTCTCCCTCCCCCGGTGCTCCAGGGGGCCTTCCCCTCTCCGGTGTTTCAGGGGAGCCATGCCCTCTTCCTGCACCCCAGCCCCTTCACACACACCCTAGGTTGGGGGAGAGCCAGGCCAGCCTTGCTGAGGACCCCTCCCTGGCAGCTGGGGGGAGGAAAGAGCTAGGGCTGGTTGGTGGGGGAAAGGGCCAGCGAAGGCAAGAGCAGGGGCGGAGGCGGGGGAGAGCCAGGACGACCATGGCCTTGTTCTGGCCCAACCCCCTGTCCGCCTGAGGGAGTGAGCTGAGTCAGCTGCGGTCTTGACCTCAGCCCTCTGGCAGGCCTAGCCCTCTGGCAGCTGGGTCAGCTGCAGCCTTGGCCCAGCCCAACCCTCTGACGGCTGTGAGGGAGCTGGGGGGGCTTGG